CCCACACACACACACACACACACACAGAGACCATCGAGAACGATTTGATCCAGCAGCTGTTCTGAAAACAACAAACATCTGAACTGTTGCACAAACAGTAAGTGTGGTTTCTGCAGCAGTGAGTCGTGACGAGGCTTCACATCTTTACCACCATCATCACCATCATCCTGCAAACTGTAGCCACAGAAAGAAACCCACTTCTCCAAAGATAGTTAGAGTCCTGGCAATCCTTGAAGGAATGCATGGAGCTCACCACCTTTTAGGCAAGAGGTTTTTTTTTTTTCAATTCAACCTTTATTTAGACAGGTTAATCCCATTGAGCCTCGAGGACTCATTTACAAGAGAGACCTGATTTCAACAAAGAATGATGACAACAATGGACAACAGCAACAGACAATCATAAAAGAGGCATACAGATTTTTTTTTAAACAAATTAAAATAAGATGGCAAAAATAGCAGAAATAGCTAGATTATAAGGCGAATGTAGAAAACTAAAAACAGGAACATGTCTGCAATGGTCTTTGCCAGGAGTCCAACAGATTCTTAAAGCCACTTACAGAGGTCAAGATCGAGAGCTTCAGATCTTTTAACAAGATATTCCAGGAAACAGGAGCGGAGTAGGAGAAGACCCTTTTGCCAAGTTCAGTCCTCAATGAGCGCACGCTGTAGCTGCACTCACGAAGAGACATGTAGGAGGAAATGTATGAAGGCAGCAGACCAAGAGGTGATTTAAATGTGAAAATGTACCAGTGAGAAAGTCTGTGTGAAGTTAAAGATGTCCAGTTAACCAGTGAATACAGGGTGCAGTGGTGGGTACGATAATCACAGCCAGTTACAGTATGAATCTTAGTGCACCGTGATAGACAGCATCCAACATCTGCAGGGTGCTTGTAGGAGCGTTCATGTAAATAATGTCACTGTAGTCAATGGAGACAAGGAAAGTCACAGATACAAGGTGTTTACAAGAGTTTAAACTGAGATCAGCTTCTGATGACAAATGATAGAGTTGTAGCAACTTTGGTCATCTTTATCTTCATCCTCTACCGCTTACAGTGGTGCTTGAAAGTTTGTGAACTCTATATAATTTTCTATATTTCTGAATAAATATGATCTAAAACATCATCAGATTTTCACACAAGTCCTAAAATTAGATAAAGAGAGCCCAGTTAAACAAATGAGACAAAAAAACTATACCTGATCATTTATTTATTGAGGAAAATTATCCAATATTACATATTTGTGATGGTACAAAACGGATTCCAAAAAAGTTGGGGCACTAAACAAATTGTGAATAAAAACTGAATGCAATGATATGGAGATGGCAAATGTCAATATTTTATTCGTAATATAACATAGATGACAGATCAAAAGTTTAATCTGAGTAAATGTAACATTTTAAAGGAAAAATATGTTGATTCAAAATTTCACAGTGTCAACAAATCCCAAAAAAGTTGGGACAAGTAGCAATAAGTGGCTGGAAAAAGGAAATTGAGCATATAACGAACAGCTGGAAGACCAATTAACACTAATTAGGTCAATTGACAACATGATTGGGTATAAAAAGAGCTTCTCAGAGTGTCAGTGTCTCTCAGAAGCCAAGATGGTAAGAGGATCACCAATTCCACCATTGTTGCACAGAAAGATAGTGCAGCAATACCTGAATGGTGTTACCCAGCGTAAAATAGCAAAGAATTTTAAGTTATCATCATCAACCGTGCATAAAATCATCAAAAGATTCAGAGAATCTGGAACAATCGCTGTGCGTAAGGGTCAAGGCCGTAAAACTCTACTGGATGCTCGTGATCTCCGGGCCCTTAAACGTCACTGCACCTCAAACAGGAATGCCACTGTCAAGGAAATAACAGAATGGGCTCAGGAATACTTCCAGAAAGCATTGTCAGTGAACACTATCCACCGTGCCATCCGCCGTTGCCAGCTGAAACTCTACAGTGCAAAGAAGAAGCCATTTCTAAGCAAGCTCCACAAGCTCAGACGTTTGCACTGGGCCAGGGGTCATTTAAAATGGAGTGTGGCAAAATGGAAGACTGTTCTGTGGTCAGACGAGTCACGATTTGAAGTTCTTTATGGAACACTGGGACGCCATGTCATCCGGACCAGAGAGGACAAGGATAGCCCAAGTTGTTATCAACGCTCCGTTCAGAAGCCTGCATCACTGATGGTATGGGGTTGCATGAGCGCTTGTGGCATGGGCAGCTTGCATGTCTGGAAAGGCACCATTAATGCAGAGAACTATGTTCAGGTTCTAGAACAACATATGCTCCCATCTAGACGTCATCTCTTTCAGGGAAGACCCTGCATTTTTCAACACGATAATGCCAGACCACATTCTGCAGCAATCACAACATCATGGCTACGTAGGAGAAGGATCCGGGTACTGAAATGGCCAGCCTGCAGTCCAGATCTTTCACCTATAGAGAACATTTGGTG